TCCTTCCCATATCCACTTTTCCAACACTTTCTTCCCTTTCATAGCAACCATGACAGCCTGTTGGCATGTACCTACCTGTGCATTATTTATTTCATGCTGGTTCCCCTACATTAGGTTGTGGGTTCTACAAGGTCAGGGGTTATGTCTGTTTTATACACCCCTGTATACTCAGCACCAGCAAACTAACTGCCTGACACCCAGCAGGTGCCGAGCAAATATGGGCGAAGGACTAGATGAATGAATGAATGACAATATTTTTGATGGTAAGTAGCAATATCAGATGTGAGTGTCATATACCCGTCTGGAAGGAAGTTGTTTAAGCGGATGTGTGAGTTCTGTGAAGAAGCTGCACTCTGCTGTCAGAGTCACCAGAACTTGCACGTTCTCACTTAGCCTTGTCTGGGACCGGGGGCTCCCATTGCCTTTAGGCATTTCATGATTTACAGAAATGGCTGTGACCATGCCTGACTTCAGCGCAGCAGCTGTTTGCCTGTCCTCCAGGCTGGAGATCACCTGGTGATAAACTGTTCGCTCGTGAAAACTAGTGCTCCATTTACTTGCTGTGCCCAGAACATCACCTTCCCCTGGGCAGCGGTGGTGCCCGTAGAGACGGGCTTCGTTTGCATTAATCATTTTCATGCACTTTGCACTCAGCTACACTGGTATTCAGAGAAAAATGCTACCATGACAACTGCCACAACAGATGGTATTTGATCAGTCTCTAAGCTACCAAGGAGATACACGGCAGTGCTTCCGAGGTTTGCATATTTTACGTTATCATGAGACCCAGTCCAGCCTTAATCATGATTACGATGTGAAGTTTTCCATTTGCTTCCTGTCACCCGTTTCTCTTTCCAGTTGTTTGGCATTTGCTTTGACTTTCCTAGCTCTCTGGCCGTCCTAGGTGGGGATGTACTTCTGGATGTGAGAGACAAAGGCGGTAGTTGCCCTGCAAGTCTGACGTCCAGAGACTTTTGAGGAGCTATTCGATTGTGGGGTAGAGGCCCTGGCGGAGACCAGCAGAAAGGCTTAATTGCAGCCTCGCTCTCTTCTATGTTCACGGACTGCACAAGGTGGAGGCCACGTTTGGCCCCAGACAAAGGGCATTTGTGGAGAAGTGCATCCTGATCTCAGTCTGCCCCTTTTCTCTGCCCCCCTCTCTGCTCCTGGGGTCTCCAGGCCACACAGTAGGTGTTCCCTCTCTGGGCCTCTCACCACAGCCAGTGCTGCAGACTCCAGCAACTTGATCCCAGGACCGTCAGACCCATTTCTATGGCAACAACTCCAACAGCATTTCTTCCAGTCCCCAGCCCCCTTCAGCAACAATGGAATGTCAGACTTCACACAGATTTTTTTCAGCTAATTTTGGAAAGTAGTTTATATTGGCCGCTACATGTTAATGAACCACTTTGATCGTATTTACATACTTTGCTGGTTAAGAGTGTTTTCCCTCGCTCTGCCTCCCAGCCTTGACTGGGTCCTCATTTCACACTGTGTGTCTGGATCACACACAAGCCACACACGAGCCTAGGAGGAGATGAGCTCGAGGACATCCTTGTGCTGTAATGAGTACTGGGTGCTGTTGGGGCCGTTCCTCTCTCGGGATGGGGAGGGAGTTTGCAGTTTCTACAGTCCACGAGGATGGAGTGTTCACTCGCACCGCATTTTCACCTTAAGGTGAATTTTAATCACAAGATGCCTGGATCAAAGAAACAGTCTCCCCTTCTGATCTCCTTCCAAATGAAGCCGGGAGCTTGGAGTCTACATCTGACCCTGTTCTGCTTCCCAGCCCCGCATGATGCCTGGGGTGCAGATGAAAGGGCATGGGGCTCGGTCGCCTTGTCAGGAGTGATTTTTAACCTTAATGGAACATTATTAAAGAGTGGATTTGAGACTTAAGGAATGCTTTTTGAACTCCTTCTGTGAACGGAGAATTCACCATAGAGGGGGAAAATTCAAGGCACTTGATGGGCTTATAAATGATCTTTTAAATGATGACTGAGTTCTTATTTTTACTTTTAACGTTTTCTGGGAGGGCAAGCCAGCCATCTGTATTTTGTCTCCTCGTTAGAGGGAAACAGTCGTGGTGCCCCAGGCCTCCACTGCTCATCCTATGAAGGAAGAGCCCAGTGCTACCCTTGTTTGTGTGCTCGGACTCTTCCTGGAATGGGTGGGAATCAGGGTGTGGGTCAAATGGCAATGGGCATACTCCTCATTTCCCTAGAAAGGAGGAGTATGTAAATGCAAGGTCCTGTGACAGAGAGGAGGACCTTCTGGGCTGCCCCCAGCTCTGCTATTGACATTGACTTGTATAATCTGGGTCAAAAATCTGACCTGCTTACTTCACTTTCTCCATCATGGGATAATTGCTAAAACCAACACCATCAAAAGAACAGAGTGCATTAGGGGCACAGAGCAGACATCTACACAAGTTTGTTGATTGAACGAATTCTTAAAAGAATCATATAACTCAGGGCTTCTCAACGTTGGCACTATGGACATTTTGGATTGGATAATTCTTTGTTGTGAGGGGCTGTCCTGTGCATCATAGTTGTTCAGCATCCTCTTGGCCTCTACCCCCTGTGTGTTAGCACCCCCTTCTCCCACTGTGACAGCCCAAAATTTTGCCAGACATTGACAAGTCATTCCCTCACCTCCATCCCTCCTCCCTAGCCAGTGGAGAACTCTTGATCTCAATTATGAAAGTCTATGAATATATGATGGGATTTTTAAAAAATTAACAAAGGAGGAAGACATATTTGGGTGACTTATAATTATCCATCCTTTGAATACAACTTGACATTAAAAGAGAGCCCAGCAGATGGCTAAAGTGAAATGTGTCAAGGCTAGCCTTGCAAGAAGATACTACCCTGTACTTAACTTACGCTGTGTGCACTGAATACTCCATAAATACGACAAATGCTCCTTGGAAGGTAAGCTTTATAGAAATATAGGCTGTAGAGCAGTGCTTTTCTTGCATATGTTGGTGGGAATCTTTTTTTCCTTCGGTGCCACGCCACTGGACTGTTGCTTAACCTACCCACGTCAGCCCACCTACATGACACTTCCCAGGATGAATATCAAGTGTACTATTTTTGATTTTGCAATAACAGAGATTCAGGATGGTCAACTTTTTCTTTTTCTCATTTTCCATGGGTACATAATAGCCAAAGCCTCACTTATCAGCCATGTGTAACATATTATGTTAAAGAAGTAGGATAGGATTATAGGAAAAGATGAGCAGTAGAAGAGGAATTTTCTAATTTTATCATGATTTAAATACTATTGTCTCTTTTCTGGGGGCAACAAATCCCTTTGAATGGTTTCTGTGTACAACAGTAGAAATAAGGACTAGTAGATTGCTAGCTAACATTTTTTCTCAAAAGCAGAGTTTCAGAGTATGGTAAAATAGCATTTAGAGATATAAATTGTATTACACTTGCAAATGGAAGCAGACTGCTCTAAAATACCATCCACAGGGTACTCGCAGCCATTCCCTTCTTTGCTTCCTCCTCCCTGCTTCCCTCCAAGGTGACAGTACCTTGTTGTCACTGTCAGTCATCCTTGGGGCTAGACAGAGGAAAGGAGAGATTAAAAGCAGTCTCGCCCTTCCTCTGTCTATATAGGGAGTGATTTTCTGCGACAGTGGCAAGCATAACCCATGGCATCAGCATTTATTTAGTTTGCAGGAAATTGCACTCTGCTACTTTTTTTAGAGATGAGACAATGTCTCTCAGATGGAGGACCCTTGAAGGTGGGGTAGAAGTTGGGAAGGACATGGAAACCTGTGATAAAAACACAAGGATGCAGTAACCTCAAACTCAGTGTTGAGTAGATTCTATAATGTGGGTACAGTTTCATTCAGGTATCCCATAGATTAAAGCCTTTGGAAGATGTGAAGACCAGGAATAGAGGAGGAAAATACTGGACATCAGTGGACACAAACTTCAGGAAGACTGCTTTGGAGCTAGATTCTGCTTAAATTAGAGCTCTTAAAATATAGATGCTTCACACTCTCTGAGGCTGTGAAGGAGCCTCAGGAAATTGCATGGGGATGGAGAATGGTCACATGTATACCGTGAAAGCCAATCATTTATGAGTTCAAAATAAACTCGTTGGGTTAAATACTCGTTTGAGTTCATAAGAACACTGATGGAGCCTGGGAAGTGGGGGGGGGGTGGTTGTAGAGGGGAATCAGTGGTGTCCCCACTGTGAAGTGCAAATTGTGTGAAATGCAAAGATCCCTGTGCCAAGTCAAAAGCAATTTCTTTTATTTATGGTCACCAGTGACATTAATCAGGCCAGAACACTTTCCTTTAAACCAAAAAATAATTTGCCCTGACAACTGAAGTCAAATTAGACCCTTGGGAATGACCCAATTATTTTTTCACGAGGGCTGGACATTGGCTTGTCCTTGGCCGTGGCATTAGCCCTGGCAAACCTGGGCAGCCTCCCAGGCTCTGGCTGGTGGGTCTGTTCTTGCCACAGAGAGCACAAAGGACAGAGAGGTTGAGGAGGTCGCAGCCCTCCCTGGTCATCTGCAATGCCTGCCATCCTGAGAATTTTGAATAAACACTACCCAGATTCCTGCTAAAACTCCCAGCCAATGTTTGTGCATTTGCCTGCCTGCCTCTTTGGTGGCTGGAAATTTCTCCCAGCTGCTGGTAGATGGGTGGGTCCACTAACCTCGTCCACATCTCTGTTTCTCTGGCAGCTGCTCAAGTTTTCAGGATTGTACTGGTGACAGTGATCAAGATGAGCACTCCAATTCCACCCTGGTTATTTTTGGCAGCTGTGAGCAATCCAAGGCCTCAACTCTTGGCACTGTATGGTTGGGATGTTAGGTAACCTTTTCCTGTGCAAGTATAGACAAAGGAGAGTCCCCACTGTATGTCTGTCCATCCACAGGCCGTTTTTACAGCATTGTTGCTAGTAAGACATGGTTCTCGAGAGGGCCAAACATTTATTAAGTGTGTATTGTTGTTTTTTTTCCCCCGTAGATTGAAAACATAGATGCCTGCTTGAATTTCCTGGCAGCTAAGGGAATAAACATCCAGGGGCTGTCTGCAGAAGGTGAGTCAAGCTGCTTTTCATCTTTACAAAAGCCCACCTGTTACTTATTGATGATATTAATACCATTAAGACAAGGGGTGCTGGTTGGCTCTTCGGGTTGTTTTCCCATAGACGGCTCAATGCTTGCCTAGACTTGAGGATGCCAACTTTCTCACACCCCAAGGAATCACTCCAAGAATGCAGATGCAACCATACCAGCCACGTCTGCAAGACACTGTGGGGGTAGAGAGGGGGGAGCTGCTCCTATTTGAGAAGACCTTGCTTATACAATGCTGATTTGATTCACCTGTCTGGGGATTTGGTTCATTATCAAGCCAGGCCTTCTCTGTGGGAGAGAGAATACTTAACCACAGAACATATTTAAGCTGCACAGCTTCCAGGGAAAAATGCTTAATTCCTTCTTAGCTCTTTTATTAGATGATGCAGCACTTTTTCTTGCTTTAAAAAAAAAAAAGAAATAAAAGCATGTGATTTATTAATGCAATGCTACATATTTACATCCCGATTAGTTTTTAATTAACTTAAATTTGGCAGCTAATTAGCACATTAGCATCGCGAGTGTTTCGCTGTTATGTTAGGTATTGGTCTGGAGATGGCTGGTCCGAATTCTCAGCCTCCTCAGGCAACGTCTCAGCCTGGAAACCTTCCCTCCCTCTCCTGCTTGTAAATACGAGCGGCTGCCAGCTCAAAGCTGCCATAGGCCCAGGCAACCTCCCAAGCTCATTAGGCTGCACCTGCCTCCAGTGTTCCCAGAACAGGTAACGCGGTTTGGGCTTCAGGTGATAGCATCTTCCCGCAGCAAGTTTGCTTTTCGAAAGGATGCCTGCTAGCGTGGACTCCGGCGGTCCGGGTGGGGTGGTGGGGAGCAGTGAGGACCAGAGCGGCCGGACGGAGCAGGTGAGTCTGCAAACACGATGGGTGCCACGGTGGGACTGCTCCTTGCCTTTGCTCTGCCGCATGGCAAAAGCTTGGCCTTCCCGGCTGCGTTTCTGAGCTGCAGACTGTTCCGATATTGTGTGGTGGCGTCATGAAGGGGCACTGTTAGTGCCTCATTGGGTGTGCCGTGTCTCTGGGTGAGACTGTCAGAATTCTCTCTTTGGGAACTCGAACTTGCTGGGCCCATCCCCGGTCAGGCGTGGGCACACTACTTCCGGAGGTCTCAGAAGCAGCTGCAGTGTGGTCACCCCTAATCCCAGAGGATTCCCCTTCCCTGGGGAAGAGATCAAGCTGACTGCCACGTGGAATACACATTGCTGGGGCAGGGGTTGGTGGTGGTAGGGAGATGCCAGTTCCCATTCAGAGGATGCATGTTTCCTCCTGGTAGAGAGTTCGTGTGCTGGCCGGTAGGTGGCAGGACATGCTCCCTCCTGGTTTCTGGGAGTGATAGGACCCCATGGACAGGCCTGTGCCCTGTCCCCCTCACCTCTGCAGAGCACCGACTGGGACTTTTACGCAGCTGTGCCCAGCAGCAAGGCCTTTCGTGGATGCAGACTCTGCAGGTCTGCTGTACTCGCCTGGCCTGGAGGTGACCCCTAGCCACTCAGCCATCTACCAGTTGTCCTGCCTTCTGCCTCATTTGTTCCCCCATCTGCCCCATCCTCTCTGTGCCGGAAGGCATAGAGAATCTGTGCGATACGTATTCATTGAATGGGTAAATACCAACTGTTCTTTTAAGGATTTTTATCTTATCAGCTTCAGTTCTCACACCTGAAGCTGGAGTTTATATATAGCAGCCTCATCTTATAAATGAAGAAACTTTGGCTTAAAGAGGTTATGGGTGACATCCTTGAGGCATATGGCTAGACATTGGCAGAGCCAGGATTTGAACCCAGGTCTGTGTGATTCCAGAGCTCATGTTCATGGTGTCTTCTGGGGCAGCAGACGGATAAAATCTAGGCACGCCATGTAACGGTGAAAGAAATCCAATTTAGAACTCTTGGTTATCTAGAACACTGGGAAAATGTGGCCCATGGAGGGTATCATGCAGAGAGCCTCTTAGCCCTCTGCCCCCTCTTAATGTTGGGATGGCCCGTGGAGTGTCTGAGCGTAGAACAGCATACTGTCACCAGTGGGGTGTGGTATGAAGACACTGGGGTATAACTATGAAGGGGTTTTATGGTATTTCAGTAACTGCCTTAAGTTACTGAAAGTGCCATGTTGAATCCATCTTTCCTGCTGGTTTGAGACTTACTTAATGATATCTTAGCCAGAATCCTTAACCCTTCAGTCACGTTCAGTTATTAAAAGTGTTATATCCATATTTATGATTCAATCTTGTTCATTTTAAAACCTCAATCTCGAACTCTACTCAGAGCCCTCTTTCACTGTTCCCTCCAGGGCAAGTGGTTTTAGGAGATGGAGGCATGATGGCTTGATGTTCTTCCCTTTTCCCTTCCTTGGTTCTTGCTCTACCACCCCCTTGACTCAAAGAGCACAAGGACCCCACCTGCCTTCTTGCTCTTTGGTGAGGGGAAGGAAGTAGCCATCTCCATGATCATGAAACATTATACCCCCAACATGACATTCTGTCACCTGGTCGTCTTATACTGATTTTTGGGAGGTGTTGGGGAACAGTAGTGGTGGTATGGGTAAGACTGAGTCTGAACTGCTGCAGTCCTGCCTTCTCCTCCTTGAACTTATTAAAAGCAAGAGTACTTCGAGCCTTTTATCCTCTAATTGGGCCTTATTTGTAATTTCAGGCTATAGAAATATCACACTTGACATCCTATTAAATTGTAGGAATGGAAACCTTTTATGAAGAACCTACCATATGTCAGTCATGGAGCTAAATGCTGTATACTTTTATATCTTCTTTAATCCCCCCAGGAAGCTTATGAGGTCAGTATTAGTATTATGTCTATCATACAAGGCCCAAAGAGATTGAGTTTCACACAGGAGAAGGAAGGCCCGTGAGGTTGGCAGTGGCTAAGCTATCCACGTGTGCTGGTGTTTTCAGCTACTTACCACTGCCTATGTTTCTACCCACCTGCATGACTATTAGAAAAGCATTATAGTGTATTAAAAAGTAATGTAGATTTAATGCTTTTTGTTTTCCTTTTGAAGATGATTGAGTGCCCTGGGGATCCTTCTCTGATGGAAAAAAACATCAGCAGTTGGAAAGCCCCATAGACACATCTCCACCCTTTCCCAGCGACTCAAGCTGGGTTTGGACCCGGCAGTGTGTATGCACCTGTCCTTGCGCATTTCAGCAGCCCAGGCCTGCCCCGACCTGCCTGCTGGAGAGCCACACAGAGCCTTTGTTCCAGGGCACAGACGGCGGCTGCCTCGGGCAGAGGCTGGGGCCTGAGTGAACCTCATGGAGGAGCTGCTGGTTTGGGGGACTTCCCTGGACTAGATTTCCCCAACCCCTTTTGTGTTACTCAAGGTCAAATCGTCTATTTACTCTTGGAGACTTGCCAGCGCCCTGTGAGCCTGGGCCTCCCTTGCCCGGAGGCCATGTTCAGGGTCCCCCACCAGCCCTTCCCCGACACACGCGCCACCTGTCACAGCCATCTGTAAACCTGCCCCTGTGAGGAAGGATGGCCTTTATCTCCAGCAATCTTTTGAGAACACCTGGGTTTGTGCTGTCTGGCCTTGAGCCCATCTTCCTGGAATGGAGAAGCAAGTGTCAGAGGGCAAGGCATATCCTAGTGAGTCCGGCAAACTTTTGTTGGGCACATCCTGTGTGCCGGACACAGTGCTAGGCACTGGGGTACACGATAGTCGAGTCAGGGGTATAAAACTAGCCTTGATTCCAATAATTACGTAATAAAAGCTATGCTAGTGGTAGGTCCAGTAGGTACAGGATCCAGTGGTGACCAAAGAAAGGCAGATTAGCTCTGCCTGGGGCAGTTGGGGGTCTTCATGGAAGTGGTGGTGTTTCCCCTGGGTTTCACAGGGTGAATAGACATTCAACAGACAGAAAAGGAAGGTGAAAGGAAGTCTAGATAGATGACTGGACATAGATAATATAATGGGGGCAAAGGGCTAGCTTTTTATCAACCTTGCAAATTGGAGAAACAGAGACAGGAAGAGCCTTCCAGGTGGAAGGGGTGTGTGCTTTGAAGTGAAATCAGTCTTTGACTTGATTAGCTCAGTGCTGGGTTTGCTGCCGGATAGCCAGAGACTGAGGTACTGAATGTGCTCCTGCTTTCCTCCTGAGCCAGAAAGCAGGACGAGGTCTTTCTGGACCTGTTGGGTGAAAGCAGCTGGTGGAGCATTCCTGTTTCCTCCAGCCCACATTGCCTGCACATGGCACTGACTGAGTCCCTCTGCAGAAGGGGCCCGGTAGGCTCTGTTCCCTGTCATCCCACATCCCCTGTGGGTAGAGTGGTTGGCAGGCTGGGTGAGCAGCAAGCACACAGTGCTGAAGAGTGAGGTTGCAGGTTGGGTGAGGAACCTTGGTGTCTAGCTGGCACACCTGCAGGAACAATGCCACCAAAGAATCCCCAGTCTCCACTGGGCAAGCCTTACACAACTGTGGCTTACGGGAGTTAAATAGGAGTTCGGCAACTCTGCGGTCTACAGTATCTCCCCCTTTGGCTCCAAATCTCTCTGCCATACAAAACAGGTTTCTATGTGCTAGATTATTCCAGTGCCTGTGTAAACCAGGCTTGAGGTTCCTCCTTAAAAATGTTGAAAGAAAGTAACTCTCCTATTTATCTTACCCTTCATGCCTGATGTTACCCACAGCATCTATGCTGATTTGTACCAGCCACTGGGAACAAAGAGATCGGTCAGAAACCAAAGAAACTGGGGTCAAGGCAATACTCATGCTAATAGAAACTGGAATACGGCCTGTGCAGTTTGTTCAGGCTACGTGGAGGTGGCCACAGGAAGAGAAAGGAGGACAGGGCTCCGGTGCTGCTTAGTCACCAGTGGGCAGCGTCTCCTTGGGCGAATCCATTCTCTCTAGTCTCCATTGTCTTCCTTCTCCGGGACTCAAGAGGGTGAATTTAGTTGATCAGACACAGAATGATACTCCCTTTCTAAAGCCTTGGGAAGTATCTTGAGGGACACATTTTTGTGGGCTTTTGGATTTTGTTTTTAGGCTTCCTGAGGATCTGGCTCACCAAGCCTCATGGAACACAGACAAATACCACTTGGAAATATGGAAAGAACACGATTCTAGCTATTTTGGATACTGTCTGTTATAGACCACCCATGGCAAAAACTATGTGGCTTTCAGAGCATTTACTACTCTTGAGTTTTGTGATTGGAATAGAAAATTAAACAGTGTGAATGTCCATCATTTTGTGAATAAAGTGTGGTATATCCACATAATGAGATACTATTCAGCAATATAAAGAAACTGACAAACGCCCTAATACGGATGAACCTTCAAAACATTATTTTAAGTAAAAGAAGCCAGATGCTCCTTGACCTATCACGGAGTAAGGGGTTATGTCCTGTAAATTGAAGATAAATGTATTTCATACACTTAACCTGACAAACAGCCTAGCTCAGTTTAGCCTACCTTAAACGTGTTCAGAATGCTTAGGCTGGTCTACAGTTGGGCAAAATCATCTAACACGAATCCCATTTTATAATAAAGTGTTGAATTTTCCAAATAAGTTATTGAATACTGTACTGAGAGTGAAAAACAGAATGGTTGTACAGGTATTCAAGGTATGGTTTCTACTGAATGGATGTTGTTTTTTTCACACCATACTCAGTCTGTGAAATTATAAGTCAAACCATCACAAATCAGGGACTGTCTATATTGCATGATTCTATTTATATAAAATGTCCAGAAGAGGCAAATCTATATAGAAACAGAAAGCAGATTACTGGTTGCGTGGGAGTAGGTTTGGAAATTGATTGCAAAGGAGCATGAGGAATCTTTTTGGGGTGATAGAAATATTCTAAATCTAGAATATACTAAATTTACTAAAAATCATGGAATTGTAACCTTAATTTTATGGATGTAAATTAAACCTCAATAACGTTATTTTAAAAACCAGAAAGAAGCTCACCATTGAGTTTTCTCTAATGTCGGATTATTCATGATTAATTTCCTTCTGGACATCGGTGACTGGGCCTTACAGGGGGTGAGCAGAAGGAATAGACCTCTGCTTAGGTTTCCTTTGGGTGAGGAGCCCTGTTCCGAGGAGGCTGCAGGTAGTGTGGTCATATTTTCTGAGCCCAAAAAGGAAGTAGGGAGTCAGGCAGTGTCCTGAGTGTACTCATTTTCAATTAGTCTTCAATTCTCTTGGCAATCTTATAGCAAAGGGGCAGCAAGAAGTATGCCCATTTTAAAGAAGAAGAAAACTGAGGCTCAGGGAGATTGAGTTTTGTAAAAACTCAAAGTGTATAAATGACGGACTGTAGAGATTCAAGATTCATTTTTCTGGCTCCAAAAATGAGTGATCCTTAAATGCTGCCACCTAAGAGAAAGTATAATTATTAGAGGAGCACTCTGCTCTTTGGCAAATGTTTTAGGGAATGATGGAGCAAACTATTATGAATAGTAAATGGCTGAATGACCACAGGAGGTAGAGACCATGACAAGACTGGCTCCGTTCGTTTGCCCTGGGGCTGGGCCGGCAGGTTATGGAAGGTCCTGATCTGGACACGTGCCTACTTTTTGCAGTGGACGAGCCCTGAGACCTTTAATATGCTGAATTGGTAGTTTCTCTCCTCTTTGTTTTTCTTGCATGGTCTAAAAAAACAAAGTATTATGGAATATTGGACACACCAGGAGAATAAAGAATACTTACATGCCCACCAGCTAGCTTAATAAATAAAACATTATCTGGTATGCTTTTAACTTCACCACACATGATGAGTATACAAGTAAGCCAAGTTACACAGTGTTAGGAAACCAGACCTTGAGCTGGAGAAATCTAGATTCAAATCCCAGCTCCAGCGTTTATTACCTTAGAGAGGTCATAAAACCTTTCTGAACTTAAGTAAAGAAGGGATAATAATATTCACTTCTCAGGTTATAATGACTAAATGAGATTCTGCCTATGAAGAGCTTTACCTAATGTACCACTAGTCAGTAATAGCTCTTATTATAAACTGTATAACAACCTGATAATAACTGTAAACAGCACTAAAAATAAATCTTACGTAGATTTTGTCCCCACAATCGGTGCTACATTATCCCTCCAGTGAATTCAATTTAAGAAAAGTTGTTTTCTCAAGCTTTTTAATAGATGCTAACCTGCATGTCAGCGCTTGATAGGCTCATTGTTCTGTGCCTAGCTGTTGTCACTGCCCAGTTGGGTGACCACAGGTGTGTCACTCCACCTTGTGGGCCTCTGTTTCCCCATGAGTAGAATGAGTAGCCAATGACATTATCCCATCCAAGCCTCAGGCTCTGTGATTCTCGTGTACTGGCGAGAACATTTGGAAACAGAAGTGAAGTGTACGATAGGTGTATGCCCCTCCTTTGGTTTCCTTAGGCTGGAAAAGGAAGCAGAGCTGAACTACTCAAGAAATTGTGTGTGGGGGCGCTCACACATCTCTTTGGAGTTTTCTCTGCTGCCTGCATTGCAAAGGGTGGTTCATAAGCAGTGACTTGGCATCCTGACTTGTCCATGTCAGTCCTAGCTTACAGCTGTGGTCCAGGTACATTTGAGAGCTCCCCCTCCACCCACTTTCACTCTCAAAAATATTGCAGTTTGCACAATAAATTAAAAGATCACCATAGTAAAAATCATCATTTTTAAGGCATGAGACTGGAGCTGTATGAGAATCTCATTCAGGATTCTGGGGCTGCAGTCATATAATAGCCAATGCCAGTGAAGGACTTTTCTGTTCACAGTGTGCTTTCACACATATACTCTCATCTGATCTGCAAAACAGCCTTGTGTGACGGAGCACGTGGTGTCAGTATTGCTATTTTATTGGGGCCCAGAGAGATTGAGTGACTTGCCCAGGGTTGTACAGCTAGTAAGTGGAATACAGATTGGAACCTCACGCCTTATGTTTTCTAAACAGAATGTTCCTGTTGGCTTTGTCCCATGATTGGAATCTTCTAGCTCCCTAAATGGGAAGTAAAGGCTGAATTCTAGAAGTTGGTGCTGTTAGTTTCTTCAGAGCCTGGAGAAAGGGATGCTGCAATGCTAAGTAATTCAGCCTGACCTAATCAGCAGATCACAGTGCACCAAAGACACTGGCCGGCTGCCCTTCCTCCCTCTGCACTGAACGGAGCGTGCTTCTGAAAGGACTCCATTCATACCTTCTGCCCCTCAACTGGGCCTTGGAGAAAACTCTTGTTCCTTCATTAGCAGCCTCCTTTCCAGCCTGGGGCTAACCCACCCCTCTAACAAGGCCTCTGAAGCTTCCTTGGGCCTCACATCCAGTTCAGAAAAAGAAATCCAACCTAGGGTGGCAACAAAGAGGGTGGCTGAGTGTGTTTGCCCACCGAGGTTCCTCCTCCTCTGTCCCTCGTGCCGGGTGGCCCTAGTACACTTCGCCCTCGGAGTCTGCTCAGACTCCAGCCATCGGCATCTGGTGTTAAAAGAACTGCATAAAAGGAGGGATTGCCCAAGAAGAGGCCCTTTGCTATCTATATAGCCTCTGCCTGTGAATAAATATTTTATTCTTCTTTGTGACTCTTTATGCATGCCTTGAGGCAAATGCATCTGAAAAATACTGTCTGGAATTTCAAAAATGTATTCTCTTTTCTAATTTCTTTGAATGTAGGAGATGTTTTGTATGAATGCCTTATGGAAACAAGTGCTTATAGCCTATCCCTACACCCATCCCAAATTAGAGTTATTCATTCAACAGACAAGGGAGACACAGAGCCCGGTATTTGAGCGGAGGATGACTGGGTAAAGCAGAGCGTGGATTGGGGAGTGGGACAGTGGCCACTTGGCACACTCAATGTGTCTTGACGCTTAGAACATGGACTTGGTGGAAGCCAAGTGCAGTCCGAAGACCAGTGAGTTTTCCCCAGTGGCAGAGAGCGCCTCCGTCCCAATTGGTCGTCTGGCCTGTAGAACATGCACAGCTTGCTCAGGTGCTTGCTTTTGCAGTGGTGTCCTCACTGAAAATTCCCTCTTGGAACTTGCCAGACATCCAACTTGCCTTGTGTATCCACTCTAATCCCAATGGGGAGAACAAGCCAATTTCTTTGTGGTTTAGGCCTGATTTTAATTGACTGTGATACCAATGAAGTATTCAGGAAATCTGTCACATCCTAAAGAAGTTAAACTCACGTGCGGGCTGAAGCAGCCCGTTGAATGGGAAGAAGCAAGGGCTCCCATCTGACGAGAATCTCTTTGTTGTCTTGCAGAGATCAGGAATGGAAACCTCAAGGCCATTCTAGGCCTCTTCTTCAGCCTCTCCCGATACAAGCAACAGCAGCAGCAGCCCCAGAAGCAGCACCTCTCCTCGCCTCTGCCGCCGGCCGTGTCCCAGGTGGCCGGGGCCCCCTCCCAGTGCCAGGCTGGCACTCCTCAGCCACAGGTGCCAGCCCCTCCCCAAGCCCCGTGCCTGCCTCACCAGCCAGCGCCACATCCGCAGTCCAAAGCACAGGCGGAAATGCAGTCCAGGTGCGGGCTCCTCGCCATCCGATCGGTCTGTTTTTCACGTGCCCTCCTCCACCCCGGCCAAATCCTAGCCTGTACTCTGTGTGTTTCATTTGAGCTTCTTCCATGCTTAGAGCTACTGGTGGTTAGCGGGGAATTAGTGTGACCCGGAAATGGTGCAGCGAGGACAGCTCCTGTGCCTGGTGGAGATGCGTGCTTCTGCCTATTTCTCTGGCCTATTACACATACTCGTAGGCAATGAACAGTCCCTAAAACAAACTCAAACTCCCTTTCTGTTTTTGCCTATAAGGTGGGTGTTCATTGTTACACACGAGAGGAATTTCACTTAGTGGAGGCAAAAGTTCTATTCTAGTGATGCCTCTGCTTTGCCAGAAGAGAAATACCGAGAACGCTGAGGATACATTGGTGGCAAGTGGTTCTTCACAAGGGAAGGAGGCAGCTACCTTCCTTGCAGGTGGCAGTACCCCCAGTGGGGACAGTTATTATTAAATGTGACTGCGTTGTGTGAAACACACAGGGAGTGTCCTGTCATGCAGGAAGGACCTGCTCTGCATTGTCAGGGCCTGGTTTTGTTGGCATTCCTGTAGGGACTGCTGCTTTCCAGTTGGACTCACCATAGAGCAGTGTACAAGCAGAAGGCCATGGATGCCGCGGTAGTTACCGTCTACTGTTTTACAAATGGAAATTGTTACATTTCTAAGCAACTCTGCAGAAGATCACCCTGTAATACATTTGTTTTAATGGCAGAAAAAAAGGGAGGATATTAGGAAGTAGAAACTTTTTGAATTATGGTATGGTTTTGCAGGAAAGTTCATTGTAACTGTTTTCTTTTAAGCTACAAGTCTTTAGCTATAAAACCTAAATGTCACTGATCACATTGATTGCTTGATTTCATCTAAAGTGTGCTAAAGAGTAACAACCTTGCCTTTCCAGCGCCCCAGAGCAGCAGCATTAATAATCATCAGGCTTCTCACACACCTTGATACACCTTTTATCACCTGTTGCGGTTGGGCCGAGCACAAAGCTGCTCGAACACCAACCGCCTTATAAACAGTTAAAGCTTTTTCCCCCACGAGAAGTGCTATTTCCCGGTTGTGATGGTGTTAAAACCAGCAGTGATGGCTGTAATGCAAATCAGGGCCCCTAATTAATTATCTAATTATAGCCAACTCACATTATGGAAATTTGCGGGACAGGAGAGTTGCCTGGACTAGCAATCAGAAGCAGAAAGCCACGCAGCCGGTCACCGTACCCCTTCCCTGGAAACCTGCCTGAGCGGGAGCCGTTTCCTGGTCAGAACTTCCCTTGTGGACGTGGATCATTTGAATGATCAGGGCATCATTTTCCAAACTGCATCCTACAGTGCTTGTTGCCTAGCATGTAACTTCGGTTATACTGCAGGAGAAGAGTTCTCTGTGGGAAAATTGGGAGAGAATCTGGATTAAGTTGTTACAGCTGTAATTTCAGGTCTGTTCAGATCTCTGAGCCTGCCGAGCTCCAGATCCCCAAGCCCCTCGACCAAATTCAGACTTCATGGAACAAATCCTTTGATTTTTAAAAGGATTTGTTCTGTAAAATTTGGATTCAGACAAAAGGCCTCACTCAAGGATCCAGAAGGCCACATGTGGTCTCAAGGCCACAGGTTCCCCAACCTCAACCCTTCCTTGTGCCAGGTTCTGTTGTAGACACTTAGGAGTCAGGGATGAATGAGATAGCCACGGTGCCTGCTCTCTGCATGCTCCTAGAAGAGGCAGGCAGACACGCAAATAAATGGGGAATTAAACTATCAACTAGTGGTAGTGAGTATTACAATAAGATGATGGGATTCAGAGGGACTGGGTCGCTAGTTTAGGTTGAGTTGATGGGAAGATCTCTCTACGGACTGAAGTTGGGGAGAGATGAATGACAAGAAACTAGCCATGTAAAGCTCAATCACAGAGTAGTTGCAGCATGGGGGCAGCTGGTGCAAAGGCCCTGCGGTAGCAGTAAGGTTGGCATATTGGAGGAGTGGAAAGGCCAGTGCAGCTATAGCTGGGTAGGTGAGGGGAAGGGAAATGATAGGTGGTCTGGAAGCAGAGAGGGCTGCTACCATTTGCATGGACGACAGCATGACCAGCAGCCCCTGCAGTTGTGCACTGTTGTGGCACCGAGGCCAGTCATAGAATGTTACCTAAACTGGATAAAGAGTTTGGCCTCCATTCTAAGGGTGACAGGAAGCCACAGGAGGGTCTTAAGCAGTAGAAAGACTTGATTCAATTTGTGATTTTAAAAATTCACCTTTGCTTCTCTTTGGAGGATAAGAATAAAAGCATGAATGGAAGGAAGGACCCCAGTTAAGTGGCTTTTGCAGCCTAGAAGATGACAGTGGCTTGGATCAAGGTGGCGGGAGTAGATATGGAGATGCACCAATTCAGGATATTTTGGGGGTGAGCCAAGAGGCCTGCAAACAGATTGACTCTCTGGAATGAGGGAGAGAGGTCACAGAGGAAGCCTAGATTTCCGGCTTCAGCAGTTCGGTGGTAAGTGGTAGTCTAATTTATTGAGATGAGGAAGCCAGAGAGAGGAGCAGGAGGTACGAATTGTGAATCTTCAGAAGGAAACATAAAAGGAGCATTCTGCAGACTTGGCCACAGCACTGTGCTTATTTTATAGAGCATCTCGCTGCGTAGGGTTCCAAGGATCATGTGTTGAGAAACACTGGCTTGTGTCACCGAGCTGTGCTAGCCTTAGGCATCCATTTCCGTGGTAGGCGTTTGTTTTCTTAAAAGAACCAGATGTTCCAGTCAGAGCACCTCTCTCCCAGTAAGCCAAAAACATCCTATTAATAAACGCTTTACCTGAACAAGAGCCAGTCTCACTTAAGCCAGGTTTTCACATTCATGCACTCCAACTACAGAGTGGTTCCTGCTGTCATGGCCCCCTGCCCCTACCCTGGTGACATGGACTGGGCTTTGGAGTTGCTGGATGTCCTCACTTGCCTCTTTGTCTTGCCTAGATTGGGTCACTTCTGCACATGGCTGGTTTTGTCCATCATATGCTGATACTTTCTAATTTTACTTCCAAAGGATAATCTTATTGTCTAGGCAGAGGACATCCCATGCTCACACTCTGGCTGTAAGTTTAGGAATGATGAAATTGTATCACTGGCTCAGTTCCATTGTATTTCTAGCCCCAAATTCTACCTTTGAGAACCAAAGCCTCTAGGGAGGTGGTTTAGACTCTAGATCATTCATGTCAAATGTTGATGCAAGCCCCGCATGGCAGGTTTGTGATGGTGCTCTGTTAGAACTCTGCCGGATACAAGCATGCCTGAAAACTATTTTGAAGCCACCCAGGCTCCACCCATCTTGGGGTTGCAAGCCCTAAAACTCGGCAACTTTCCATAAAGTTTGCTAGTAAAGAAGTTGTGGAAGTTGGCAAGGCAAATCTGGCACATTGGCTTGAAGGAATCACGAACTTGGTCCACATTTCACCCCATGAAACTTCTCCCAGTTAAGAGTCCAGAAGAAGAATATCATCTCCGAGATTTGATCCTTCTCCATTGTATCTACCTTACAATGATCATTATTCAGTTGTTTAGGAATAATCCAAACAATGACTATTTTTTTCTTCATTCTTTTCTGTCTCTATACTTCATAAGGCTAATGAAACCAACATTTTATTTCTCACCTCAAATCCTTTTATGAACATGGTATAGGTTGTATGGATATAAGAAAGGTAAATATGTCTATGTGTCATAAGACAGTAAATAAGATTAACTTTTTCTTTTATTAAGCCCAACCAAGATTCTTCACAGGCACAAATTTAAAATTTCCTAAAAATCTGGAATTTAGCAAGTTCAGCAGACTTTAAGTGGTCATCTCTGTAGCCTTAAGAGAGCGCAAATTCCCGAGACCGGCAAAATTCTCAAACATCTGCACCCTGCTTTGGGTCACCTTTATGGGATATTGAGAAAATTCATCTGAAAAGCAACCCAGGCAGAACAAGCTTGTGAAATAGAAACATCTCAATACTTTAGAAGAGTGTAAAGTTTGTTTATTTTTCAGGGACCCCCCTGCTTTAGGGTTTTACGGTGAGAAGAATGCCTTATGCTGACTGGAAGTAGGGGGGATATTTAGTGTTTAAGGAGAAGAAAAAAACGTCACAAACATTCTTTGATAATTTTAAAAGCAATTTCTTCACATTGGATATGTCTCAGATCCGTGAAGTTAGACCTGGAAAGAAAGCTGCACCTCATGGAAAAAAGTGGGCGGAGGGAAAAACCCGGGAGCATTCCCCTGTCGTAAGACTCTCATTATCTACTTGTGTGTCTAATGTATCTTCTCTCTCCTCACTCATCTCTTCCACTTTTTTCTCCCCTACCATGCAGTGCACCATCCAAGGACTCATCTCAAAGCAAAATCATCCGCTTCACTCTGGGTCAGAGAAAGATCTCTAGGTTAGACTTGCCCTGTGTCCTGCAAAGCATGGTTTAAACCCACTCCTCTGTCCCCTCGTCCCCCTCTGCCTTGGCTGAGTTTCCTTTTGGTCCTCCTCCCCATGTCCTGTTTGCTGTTCCAGAAAACCAAACCTGCCTGGCTGATGGTCCAGTGGTGTGGGGTGTTGGAAGCGGTCATGGCGTTGCTGGAAGCGTGTAGCGTGTGTGTGTGTGTGTGTATGTATGTATGTGGGAGTGACAGCGTGGAAGTGAGGTTCAGCCGCCCATGGTGCTGCTCATTTTATTGGCTTTTGGCTTTGCTTTGTCATCAGAATCCCCTCTGATTTAGGACAGAGGTGAGTTTCAAGGCAGTTTCCATAGTGGTTTCATGACGGGTTTGCTCCCTGCTTCGCCTCACCTGCGGTAATCCTGCCTCCCCTGCGTTGCTGTGCTTGATGTTGCTGCTGTTAAAACTACTAACGTGGGATTGGTTTTTCTCTTGAGTTATAAAGACCTGAAGCGTGAGTCCAAATCGGACAGAGGGGACAAAGCAGCAGGCAGCCAGGTCTCCCCTTTGTCTCTGGATGCTCTTGCATACCGTGGAGAGGCTGCCTCAGTTCCCTGAAAATTAAAAACAACAACAAAAAAGCTTTGCTTGTTAACTGGTTCTCTAAACTCAGTCTTTGACCTGTCTGCCACATCCTCGAGGACCTATTTCAGGGTATGGGAAAAGCCAGTTACATCGTTGTATCTGCTGTTATTTTAAATGTACCAGCAGCTAACATTTATTGTGTACATCATCTTATATAAGCCCCACATCAGCCTTTATGAGGTAGGTCATGTGATTATTCCCATTTTACAGGTGAGGAAACTAAAATTTAGGAAGTTAGGTAATTTGCAAAAGACACACACAAATGGAGGAGCCAGGATTTGAATCCAGGTGGGCTAAGCCGAGAATGCCCATTTTAACCACAGTACAACGCTCTCCTCCACCTCCTCCTCGAATTCTGGTATTTATGTGGTTGTTGAGGCTGCTTTTTAAAATCATAGGTTTCAACCATTGCTCTCAGCCTTTTCCCTCACACTGCCCTTGTAGCAGCCTAACAGAAATTGCTGCTGGGGCAGAATCTCCTTGTTATGACTGGTATTTATTTTTTATTGAATTCTCATTTCAAGGTAAAAGGAAACCCACACTTCCTATCTGTCTTCATTTATGTAACAAATGCATACTGAACGGCTGCCTGCTGCCCCACTCTGTTAGGCCTAGGTCCCTTTTCTAACCATGGTTTCCTTTTTTAAAGAGCTTACACCTGGAGGGACCCAACTCAGCCTCTGCCTGGCCAGTGGGGCAGAAACCACATGGCAGTGCACTTCTCTGTAGAACAAGTCAGCATGTCACCCAGACCTGGTTCAGGAGTCCAGGGGGGAGCCTAAACTTGTCCCTGCTTCTGGTAGCCTTGCTGAGAGTGACTGCTTTCCCTGATGAGTAACAGGAGGCCCAGTCGGAGCAGTGACAAAGGGGCCCCTTCCCAGTTAATTTGAGTGTCATGCAAATGCTCATCCATATGAAAGGAAAGGGGAGGGGCGTTCTTAGAGACCTGAAATCCAGTGTCTGTTCCCACGATGTGCTGGGGCCTGGAAGATAAAGAGAACAGGAGCCAGCTGGGAAAGTATCTAACTGGAAGCACATGCCCATCTCGCTAGTGGTTTGTTATCAGGCCCAGATGATGGAAGGGGAGGGGTGGGAAGAGAGGAAGAACTGGAAGATGAGGGCGTGCCTCCCCCTCCCTGAGACTGGCGGGGCTCAGGGCTTCCACGTTCACCCTAAGCCAACGTCTGGCTCTCTTTTAGGGTGAAATCCCTCACCTAGAGCTTCATTTGGGTGCATTTTGACCCTACAGAAGCCAGTAAAGGGATGTTCTTACTTTCATTGTTTGCCCAATACTCCTCTATGCCTTCCCTTTACCCCACTTTCCCCCCACTTAGCCTTGAGCATGATTCTCATAAGAATTTTAGCTGATCAAACACCACTAAGTGTAGCAGCAAAGTTTGGTTGCCAAAAGAAACAGCCCCACCCCTGTGGCTGAGTGTCTCTGGAAATCGGTGTCTCATTGGAGTGCGAACATTGATCAAACACCTGCTAGAGCCAAACACCTTGACGGCCCCCAGGGATATGGGGCAGCGTGGGAAGCCTCACCCTGGAATCTGGATGTAGGGGAAGCGCTGTGGAGGGCATTGGTACAGTGATGGAGGAAGGACCTCCGTGGGTTTCTGCCTTTAAGCAGTATTATTTATTGCCCCCGGCATCCTAGGTGAGCCCCAGGTATTTAGGTTTATTCCACCTGCAGGAGGCAGAGAAACATAGCGACTAAGAGGTGCAGTCAAACCTAAGTGAAATCGCATCTTGACTACTTGCTGACAGTGTTATCTGGACACATTATTTAACCTCCATGAGCCTGTGCTTTTTTCATGGTCAAATGGGGTAGTCCTGTCTCCCTCACAGTGTTATGAGGATTAAATAAAGCCATTTCAGCTCTTTAGTACCTGGCATATAATCAGTGTACCATAAACAGTGGATATGGTAATGGTGTTTTAGGTTGATCTGGGACAGGTAAGGCGACCAGGCCGCCTTTTAGCAAGTCCCACAGAGTAGATCTCTACATAATCGTCTTGTGGAAAGGAATCTGTAAGGGCAGTAATTTGGTCCTCTCTGCCCAGCTGCTGAAAAGCAAATGCCATGGAAATGAGAAAGTTAGCATTTAATCATCTTATCTGGCAAAAAGCATCTCCGATTATGAGCACCTCCCCTGCTCCAGCATGTGCACACAAGCTGCCATCCTTCCTGGGAGGGGCCACCCTCTGCTCCCAGCCTTTGAAGTGGTCCTGCGGGGAAGAGCTGCTGTCTTGCCGTCAGCACGTACAGCGCGTGGAGCCGAGGAGGAGGGATGCGCTCGTAGGTTACGTGCCAGGACGGGCAGTTTTACTCCCCTGCCCGCTGCTGGGCTCTGCACATGTTGGAGCGATGGGCCTTGGCTCTAATAGTGGCAGGCTTGTCCTCCTGCCTCTGTTACACCACTTCCCTTACGCTTAATGTTTTAGAAACTCCAACATGTGTGTGTTTCAGAGAACCCATCTGTGTTCTCTGTCATTATGTAACCGTGTGGATATGGAATGACCGTGAGAGGTCAGGTTCCTCTCGGAGTGACGTGGGTTGACCCAACACACTCTCCTCTCACTGCGCTGCTTCGGTGAGGCTGGCCCAGCGGGCAGCATCTGTCGTGCTACCTGCAGCTATTCCACATGAGCAAAACCCAGCTCTTCAGCGTGCAGGGATTCTAATGCTGCAGACGGCAGATGCTTCTAGGCTGGAGGCTGTCAGAAGTGCCCATGATACACCAGGATGTTAACAGTAATGAACTTCAGAATGTTAGCCAGAGGCCTGGGGGCCGTGTCACTGGTAAACTGGAAGATGGTCTGCTTTTCAACTCTGGCTCCGCTCTCAGCCTCCTTAATTAATGCCTCACGACTGGAGGGCAGGACCTAGTAAGTCCAAGCTTCGAAATATGACATACAAGGTCTTCCCTGCCCTGGCCCTGCTTGCTTCTGCAGTCTCATTCCCTCCCACTCTGTCCCCTAGTCTCAGCACACGCCAGCTCTTTCTTTCCTCCGCACATTTTACAGGCCTCATCTCTGCGTGGCATGCTCTGCCTTCCCTCTACTCACCTTCCCATTCAACATGCCAGATCTTCTCTGGGGTCTCCTTTATTAGGAGCCTTCTCTGATCATCCCACCTACCTTCAAGATCATCATTTCCTTCCCTGAAATACTTCTGAACTTCATGTATTTCATCAGTTAACGCCTAAGCTAGCTGTCAGCTGGGGTAGACCAGTCTCTTGAGCTCTAGATGAGGTTGAGCGTCCTAGCTCTGCCCCTTCTTATGCCTGTAAAAGGTCCAGTGACCTCCCCAGAATTACTCAAGTATCTTAGGTTCTCATGGTCACCTTTGGCTTTGAAAGCCTGCATTTGAACTCCTGGACTTAAAGTTCAGTCAGAATTAATTAAATTTGTGAATTGACTCACCATCCCAAGGGATGTTTTGGTTCCCTTATAGGTAAGTCTAGACTCAGCCTTTTTTCTTACTTCCCACCCACCACACATTCATCGTAGCCTTTGTATGTGAAGTGGATTTTGCTGAAAATTTCATGGAGAGGGCTTACTTTGGAGCAAGCATCACTTCAAGCCCATTCACAGCAGAACCCAAGTTTTAAACTCTAGTGTCAACATAGATGATCTCTGAAACTTGGAAGTAATGACTTGGTCTCCACCCAGTTTTTTGATTTGGCCAAACTTAAGGGAGCTGCCCTGAGTAGGATGTGGCAGCGATGGTGGTGGAGGGTGGACACGGGCTGGCTTGAACTTCGTGGTGGCTTTTGATGGCGGTGTGTCAACCATTCTCCTTTTGCCATGTCATCTGTCCTCAAAAGCTTTAAGACAACTCCTCTGTGTCCCAGAAGGCTAGCACATCCCTGCAACCATTTGAAGAACATACTGTTCTCATCAAAGGGGCACCTAGATCTCTGGCTCAGCAAAGAGAATCTGACCATGGTCACTCGTGGGAAACCCAGTACTGTCTTTGTTAATCCAAAACCAGGAATGTGTCACTCCAGAGATTGGGGCCCACAGATAACTCAGAGGTGTCCCTAGTGTAAGGTCTCAGTCACAGATAGTTGGATGAAGTAATTTCTCTTCTGGAATGTTCTATAGGGAGATGATGAGCCTGCTTGCCAAATCCTGTCTTGCCTCTTTGAAAATGTTTATCTCAGAGTCTTGCATGTTGACTTTTGTTCAGCTCTTTTCTGATGCTTTAACTTAGACCCATCTATTTTCTTCCTTATTTATCTGATTTTTTATTTTATTTTATTTATTTTTTTGAAACAGAGTCTTGATCCATTGCCTGGGCTAGAGTGCCATGGCACCAGCCTAGCTCACAGCAACCTCCAATTCCTGGGCTAAAGCAATCCTTCTGCCTCAGCCTCCAGAGTAGCTGAGACGACAGGCATGTGCCACTACATCTGGCTAATTTTTCTGTTTTTAGTAGAGATGGGGTCTCTTGCTCAGACTGGCCTTGAACTCCTAACCTCAAGTGATCCTCCTGGTTGGGCCTCCAAAAGTGTTAGGACTACAAGCATGAGCCACCATACCCAGCCTATTTGATTTTTCTTGTGCCATAGCATGTTTCCTTTATAACAGTGGCTAATTCTTTTTGAATCTGTGTTCAGCTGAGAGGATGAGAAAGGAAACTAACATGCATTGGCCATTTCAAATTTATAACTCATTGGGGAGTTCATTATTATTACAAAGTTACAGGTAAGGAACAGGAATCTCAGAGAGGTTATGAGACTGGTCCAATGTCTTATGTCTGGAAAAGCCTTTATCCATTATACCATATTGCCTCACAGACAGCCAGACTGCCTACCTGATCAAGTTTGTACCTGTCCCATCGCATGCTTTGATTGCTTACCTCTATAAAGTTCCCTGTGCTGTCCTGAAAATCTGCCATGGTTCAGCCCCGGGTCAACACGGGTGGGGGAGGCAGGGGGTACTCTCCAGCAACTCTGAAAGAAATGCATCTTTATCCTTCTCATTGCTTTTTGCTTCCATGCTCTTTGCAAATTCCCCACTGAAGTAGAATGCTGTGACCTGTGTCCCCTGTACCACTTAATACCATTGCTATGACATTGTTTTAGAACAAGCCCATAATCCTTTCCCAGGCCTATCTGTGGGCATAAAGACTCCTGCAGACTATAGCTGGGTTAAGTAAGTCCAGCCCAAGGGATATCTACCTGCAGAAGCTATGCCATTGGATGTGAGTACTCGGATAACACTGACTTGCAGGACTTGCAGGACATTGTTTGCATTGGAAGCAGAAGCAAGAGGTACCAAGATCCCATTGCTGGATCTCCTTGGCCAGATGTGCTGGCCACATCTGGTCCCCAAACACTGGCACTGGCACTGCTGGGTTTTTGTGCCCCGTTCTGTGCCTATCTTTGTGGGGTTAATGTCTTCCAAACAAGACGGTAAATTAACAGAGGGGCAAGTGCTCCTAGCACAGTGGGAAGGGATGCCTTAAAGTTCTCACTGCAACTCGTTGGGGGAAGAGCTAACCCCCTTCTTTCTCTCCCAGATCCGTCAGGGAATTGGGCCAGCTTCTCCTTAACTGTATAAATTTTACAGTCCTCTCACACCAGCTCATGTTCTCTGTTTACTCTACAACCATCTTTCTTGCTCAGCCAACAAGAAAAAGTTTAAAGTGACTGCCTGCTTATATCTAAAATGCTTCCAGACTGCAGACTTCTTTGGTGCTTACAGATTTGCATGGCAAGAGAAGGCTGAAAGTTTTATGAGTTGAAAATTCAGACTTATCGCTAGATCTAATGCTAGCCGACTGAGATTCCAGTGGCTTTTAAACACAGCTAAGTGGGTTTTAGCCGAAAGATAGAACTAAATATTTCATCATTTCAACTTTAATTATTGGAAACAGCCTGCTTAGTAAGTCCCTGGACCAAAATTCTGATTTGGGGAATCTTACCGTTAACTCTTTGGAAAATGGGCCATAATATCTTTAGTCACATTACAAAGAAGTCTGGAGACTTAATTTCCCAAGCCACGCAAAATGAGGTGTTTTATTTAAAGGGGAATGTTTGTCTTTAGGCTAGCAAATTCCTATCAGTTTTATAGAAAGAGTGTATGATTTTATCCATCTACTACTGTTCATAGAAGCTGGTATTCAGCCTCAAAGTAATGCCTATGGAGACAGGTTGTCAGGTGTGGAAGGAAAACGTATGTCCAGACAAGTGGTTCCAACCAGGCCTTAAGTTTTCATTGCAGATATGTTGGTTCTGAGTGGTAGCAATTCCCTGTCTCACCATTACAAGCTGTTTCTTTTCTTGATATTTATGTCCTGGATTATGGAAAACACTACTTTTAATACCTATCAGAGGAGATGCACACGCAAGGTAAACTGTAGGATCTTATTAGGCCTTTATGTTCCATGCTTGATATGTTGGAGATGACATGGCTTAGCCCCACTGGAAGGTAAAGATACCCATCCTAGAGGGGAAAAAAAAGATTAGCTTTGTATTTTTAATCCACAAACATCTTCATATTTTTTTTCTTCAAAATTTCTCTCTTTGCTCAAAGGAAAACTGTTCACATTTTGCTGTTGGACTTTTGCTGGGTCATTACTAGCCTAGATGTTTATAGTGGCTTCCACCAAATCATTTGACTGGCAAACGTCCACAGACCCAATGTCTTGGATGGTTTCTTTTACCTCCTGCGTGGTTGCAGTTCCTTCTCCTGAGACTCTGCTTTTGTTCTGAGACTGAATGCATTGCCCTGTTGCTTTTGCGTTTTAGACTTCCAGGCCCTACCACAAGAGTATCCACTGTGGGCAACGAGGCCAAAACACGAGGAGGGTCAGCCGCTGCCAACAACCGACGCAGCCAGAGCTTTAACAACTATGATAAGTCCAAGCCAGTCACCTCTCCGCCCCCACTGCCAAGCAGCCACGAGAAAGGTGAGTCACCTTCTTGAGGGTCCTTTTTGGCATATCTGTCTTCATAGCAGATCTATCGAGTTCCTTTCGGTGAGTTTGGTTGGGGTTGGAGGAGGGTTTGCAAATAGGGTGGTGAGAATGTTTCACAAAGACATACTTGGCTGGCAGGAACTTTGTTAACAGAGGCATTGATAAAAAGGGGATGATATTGTTATATTCATAGTTGCCAGCAAGACAAACGGCATTTGTTTGGGTGGGGGCCGGTAAGGGACCTGGCTATGGATAGAAGCAATACAGCATTTGGAATTTGAAGATAAATTTTCATAGAATATGCTGTATATATTAGGTAGTCTTCCAGAAATGCAGGCTTCTTGGGACTTGCATTTTGTGAGCTGATAAGCTTTTTACCCATCAGAAATAATATGAGGGGAATTAAGAAAAAGGGGGTTTTCATCCTTGGAAAAAGTCAGGAATGTGGGTTGGCTCAGGGAAGATCTTGGCTACATATAAGGAGTAGACAACATTGCTGTTGGGGTTGTGGTGATGTAACTTTTGCCATAAAAGGATATGATTTTTTTTCTATACATAGTACTAAGTTTTTAGGATGGAGGAGAAAGGCAAATAGCCCTGCATAGAAGGTAGTAAAGCCAACCTTTGCTTGCTTCAGTCCAGCTCTCTTGAGACATTAGAGAAACTAGGAGAAAGTGAGGCCATCTAGAAGAGTCTTCAATGAGAGACAGAGCCCTCTTTCATTCCTGCCAGGCAGAGTGGTCTAGCCTTCTTTGGGGGATATGTCCAGGTCTCTTGAAAGCATTTCCTACCTGGTGGTGCAGAAGCTTCGTAGGGCTAACCCTGGATAATGTCCCTTCATTCCCCTGAGACCAGAGAGAGCTCCCCCTCACTCTGTAAAGTGCCCTGGGAGCCTGGGCAGCCCTCCCGTGAGTGAGATCAGAATCCACGCATCCACCCATCCAACCCAGGATCACTTGGTTGGCAGAACTGGGCTCCCCAAGAGTTTGCTGATCATTTTATCTCCCCCCCCAATAAGAAGGAAATTTATACAGTGCTGACAGATATATAGGGCAGAAGGTTTCCCAGCCAAGGTACTGGGAACTCTGCAAATAGCACCTAAAGCCATAACCAGGATGTCTCAACGGTCAAGACTGTGATCTAGCCCTTGGTTTCTGCCTCAAATCATTTTTCTTCTTCTTCTCTCTCTTTTCCCTTCTATCCTTTCCCTCCCTTTCTTCCTTTTTCTTCACCATACCCAAGTGTGTTTTTTAAAACATGTGCTTAGATTACAAAAATAATATGTGCTTGTAAAATGGTACCAGTATATATATATATATATATCAAATAAAAGTTCTCGTTTATGTGCTCCTTAAAGAGTACCAATATACCAGCACTTTATATTCTTCCAGAACTTTCACAATGCATGTGTACACACACACACACACACACACACACACACAATATTTAGAAAGGTTTTTAGTTTTTACATCAATAAAAAAGCTAAACTTTTTTTGAGTACCTACCGCATGCCTCATTTTATCCTCACTTGACAAAGGATGAAGCTAAAGCAAGAAAGGTCACACCAGAGATAGAAGTGGAATGTGATTCACACTCAGACACCGCAGTTAATACTGAGCTTTCCCTGGAAGTGGCAAATAAATGCCTGAAGTCTTCCTGTTGAGGGCCGGTTAGAGGTGTGCAGGTTGACACAGGAGAGAGTTGGGAAGGTATTAGGGGAAGCCTGGAGGCACCTCTCCTCTGGGCCCTGTCTTTGTCCCATGATCATTTGGGGAGAAGCTGTCATAAAGTCTGAAGGATGGATGTGAGACCCCAGTCCAAATAATGTAGAAAATAAAAGTCCCTAGTGGACGGGGGATACCATGTTCTGAGCCTACCACCGATGCTGCCCACCAGTGCTGAGACAGCCACCACTCTGTCCCTGCCTGGACAGGGGCTCCCTTGTGTGCCCTGAGCAGCCTCTTAAAGAACTGTGGCTGCCAATTTTAATAGAGGCAATGGCCCGGGGAAAGGCTTTAGTGTCCAAAGAAAGAAAGGAAGTTGTACTTATTTATTGAGCATGTATTATGTGCCAGGGACTGTGGTGTTCAATATCTTACCTGATCTTCACAGTCATCCTGTGAGGTAAATACCACTAACCCAATTTGAAAGAAGAAAAATGAGGCTAATTGAGATTAAGTAACTTGCCCTCATGGGTAATTAAGCGCTGGAATTTATATCCAAGTTCAGCTCTGGGATTCAGACTGGCTCTGCCCTGTCCCCGGGGAGGTCTGTTGTAAGGACCAAGTGAGGTAATGTGGGTGAGAGTGTTTTGTGAGCTGTGAGGCTGACACACTCCTGTGAGGATCCGCAGTGGGAAAAATAACTGACGGTGGCCCCGGGTCTGTGGGAGGAGGCGTTTATCATCCCTTCCTGCCCTGGGCAGGCAAGATAGAGCAGGCTTGGGGCAGCTGTTAACTGGTGTTAACTGATACTTTTCCTGCCATCCTGAGGTAAAAGGTAAGTGGGACTTTATTTTCAGAGACTTTTGTATTTCCTCTTCCTTTTGTCATAGTTGTTATGTTTGCCCTTGAACCTGACCTCTTTATTGCAGCTCATGAACTAGTCATCTTACGTGCAAAATGTAGTATGTGGAGGAGAACCAGAAATATCTCAGCTGCCTGACAGTGTGCAAGACACAACAGGCACATGGAAATGTAATGTGGCATCCTTTGCCTGGAGAGGTTCTGTCTTGGAACCTTGGAGAGGGACGCACGTGTGAACAGATAAATTGCGGTTCCTCGTGGTTGGTGCTGTGGTTGGCGTGTGGACTGTGTTCAGGTGAGGTAAAGTCCATGATACAGTCCCAAGGTCTGTGCTCTTTCATCCTCCACTGAGCTTTCTTGTGAGTGAGTCAGGCCCTGACTGGGTTGTGTTCTGGCATTTTATTCTTAGGTAAGCCGATACATAGACTTTTTTTTTCTAAATCAGAATAAATATATTTCTACAGGAAATAATTAAAAAAAAAATTTGTGATGTGATTGGGCACAGTGGCTCGTGCTTGTAATCCCAGCACTTTGGGAGGCTAAGGTGGGAGGATCACTTGAGCCCAGGAATTCGAGGCCAACCTGGACAATAGTGAGATCCCGTCTCCACGAAGAAATTTAAAAATTAACCAAGTGTTGTGGCATGCACCTGTAGTCTTAGTTGCTTGGGAGGCTGAGGCAGGAGGGTCACTTGAGTCCAGGAGTTCCAGGTTACAGTGAACTATGATTGTGTCACTGCATTCCAGCTTGGGTGACAGATTGAGACCTTGTTTCTTAAAAAAAAATTTATGGTAAAATGCATATAATATGCAATTAACCCTGATAACTGCACCTTTTTAAATGTGCAGTTCACTAATGTTAAGTACATTCACATTGTTGTGAAACCAATCTCTAAAACTTTTTCATCTTGCAAAACTGAAACTGTACATATTAAATGATAAATCCCCATTCCCGTTCCCACCAGCCCCTGGCAACTACATTCTACCTTCTGTTTCTATGAGTGACTACTGTAGGTACTTCATAGGAGTAAAATCATGCAGCATTTGTCTTTCTGTGACTGGTTTGTTACACTTAGCATAATGTCCTCAAGGTTCACCCTTGTTGCAGCATGCAATCATAGACTTTAATGTGTGACCCATTGACCCAAGAATTCTACTGCTAGGAATTGATCTAATCACATCAGTCACTGTAATGAAAAATTCATTATTCTGTAAAAAAGTCACAAAAATATTTCATCATTTAGTCCCAATTTTTTAAAAAGTATTAAAAGAAATTTAAAAAGTATAATAGGCAACTTTTTAGACTGCGTAGAGCACTTTATACCTTGTGGAGAAATCCTGAAGGATTTCTCTCAAAACCACGCCACGTGTTGCCTCCACCACTGAATTTAATTCTGGTTTTACAGAACAATCCAGTGAGATGTGACGCTGAAGGAAAGTGATAGGTAATGCTTCTTAGCTAGAAAAGGCCTAGAGACCTGCGCAAAACTCATTAGATCATTCCATAAGGTGATGGCCAAGTACACAGTTGATGCGTAGAAACCAAAGATGTTCCTGTACAGCAACATAACCTATTGGTTTTCCCAAAGAGTGATCTCAGTTTTGCCTGCAAGGTTTGGCGGGGTCTGCAGAACCTTCAGGAAAACCTGTTAGTTTATTGTACCATCGTTACTGTCATGCTTAGGTCTGCCTTTGGTTTCACCCTCTAACTCCTGCAAGCCGCAGTGAGGCACAGCCTTGCCTGACCTGGGGGATGTGTGAGCAGGTTCGGATATGAACAGGCAGTGTTCAGAGATGGCTGGGACGCACGGAGGCTCATCACTTCCTCTGTTGACTCTAGGTGGCCCTCGGGCTCCAGGCCAGAATCACACATTTTCAGGGGAGAGGAAATTGCATCTATTTAAGTATCTGTGATATTATCTGTTTTATCTTCCTCCATCCTAACGGGTTAATGGTGCCAAGAATCTAGTACATTTTTGAAGTATTTGATCCATCTCAGGAATTTGAAATGTCCAGTGTTCCTAGATTGACTTCTGTGCATATGGAAGATGCTTTCTTCTGAATCATGTGAATTTCTTCATTTTATAGAAAGCATATCTTTATTATTTTGTATTATGAAAATCAGAAAAATATTGAAACAACAGAAATTTATTAAAAGACAAAGAACCCTGCATAATCCTATTTCCTAGAAATAGCCACTGTTTGCCACTTTGTTTATATTAGTCTATATTTTTTCATGCATACACTATCACATTTTTTTTTTTTTGAGACAGAGTCTCACTTTGTTGCTCAGGCTAGAGTGAGTGCCATGGCATCAGCCTAGCTCACAGCACCTCAATCTCATGGGCTCAAGCGATCCTCCTGCCTCAGCCTCCCAAATAGCTGGGACTACAGGCATGCGCCACCATGCCTGGCTAATTTTGTGTATATATTTTTAGTTGGTCAATTAATTTCTTTCTAATTTTGG